ACAGTTCGTTTACGGCAGCTGTTGAAACCAGTTCACCTCAGTAGTGCGTTGCGAAAAAAACAATGGAAAAAAATATTGAACAAAGAGTTTGCATCAAATTTTGTTTTTCGAACGAAATTTCGTGTGCAGAATCGTTGCGAATGCTACAAAAGGCTTATGGGGAATCAGTTTTATCGAAAACTCAAGTTTATGAGTGGTACAAAGCCTTTCAGGACTGTCGTACGACCGTCGAAGACATGCCGCGTTCTGGACGACCTTCGACCTCTACCACCGACGAAAACATTGAAAAGGCAAAGGAAATCGTGTTCAAAAATCCTCATGTGAGTGTTAGAGAGATAGCACGAGAGCTAGGCATCGGTCGTGAGATGGCTCGTTTGATTTTGGTGGACAATTTGTGTATGCGACGTGTCAACGCCCGGCTTGTTCCGATTCACCTCAATTTGTTCAACATTATCAACGATTTTAAGGCCAAACATTCAATAAATACCATCGAACAGCCACCGTATTCACCTGATCTTGCACCGTGTGACTTTTTCCTGTTTCCCAACCTCAAATTACCACTCAGAGGAACGCGTTTTGAATCCATAGAAGACGTAAAACAGAATTCGCAGAGGGAACTCAAAGCCATACCGGAAAGCGCCTATAAAAAAGTTTTTTGATGATGCGAAGAAACGTCATTTGTGATGCTTCTAATGGGCATATTTTGAAGGAGATAAAATAAATATTGATGAAGATTAAGAATTTTGCGTTTTATTTAAAATTTTCCGGAAACTTTTCGGTCACAATGTAAGTGACTTTTGCTCTTCAAGTTCAGCTATTTTTAAAATTGCTGGCTTGAGCCAAAGAGACTTCAACTTCATTTTATCATTTATTTTTGCTGTAATGTATCTGAAAAATGCGCACAATGCCTACATCGTAAAAATACCAGACTTTGTATTTCAACAATAATTGAAACCCACACAAAAATTTTATGAAATCCAATAATGCGAACACCACTTAAGGTCTGAATTATGCGTTCGAATGTCTCGAACAAAAGTGTTGACGCAATAAATAAAAATTCTTAAAGCCACCGAACAAGCCACACAATTTCAAACAAAAAAAAATTATTTTTTTAATAAAAATAATCAGTGGAAAAATTATTATGCGTTTCGCAGCTCAAATATGAAACCACAAAGAGTGAAAAACAAAAAAAAAATTTTAAAAAAATTATGTGGCAAGCAAATTGAAAAGTGTAGGCGGTTGCAGCTCCTTTGCCAGACAACAACTTCACTTCATCGCGAAGCACATTCAAGCCAGGCTCATTGGAGGTACTTTCCATATTTGTCACATGCGGAAAACAGAAAAGCGTTGAAGTCGCACCCAAGCAAGCAACCGAAGCAACCGAAGCCACCGAAGCAACAACAAAAAGCCTTGCAGTTGCCTTAGTGTCAGTTGCCGTAATGTTGCTCGTTGCTAAGTTAAGGCGGCAGCATCGCATGGGTTGCATCATTGTTACTGCAGAGTATCTACTATATAATAAATCGAATTCAATTAATTTACACAATGCAAGTAGAGTGTCAGCAACACGGACTCCACTTTACTATTGTACTGAAAAATATTTTCACTTATGGAGAAATAAAAAAGTACAAAACGTGTTGAAATTGAGCTACATGCAACACCCTGTAGCACTTAAAATTGTTGCTAATGCATTATTTGTAAGGCCCCGCAACAATTCTTCAACATTAGCCTTACTGCAATTGCTGCTCCTTAACTCCTGTTGCTGTTGCAAATTCTGTTGTACTTACAATTGCAATGTAACTGAGACAATGAACTAATGCAACAAACTACAACAACAACAACAGCAACAACAGCATAAGGGGCATAAACATATTGCAACCGCAGCCAAACAACAAATGCGCAACAATTTCCGCAACAAGCGAACAACGCCCAAAATCTTGTTTAGCTTAAAAATGAACTCACGATTTGTGCTTTTGCTGTTGCTGTTGTTGTTGCTGTTGCTGTTAATATTCACTATCGTTGCTGCTGTTACAATTTTTTCCAACCTCAAGCGAAATATTGTATTGCTAATTTACGTAAAGATCACCAACTCTTGTTAAAGTGTAAGTACCCGTACAATGTCTAGTTGTGGGACCTAAAGTAAGTCAAAAATATCGAACAAATTATAAAATTAACCAAAATCCATAAACAAAAACAACACATAATCGACAAAAGGCATTTTCCAGAATCAGCGTCGCTGCAAATTACACAAAATGTTGCAGTTGCAATTGTAGTCAAGTATAGCAGATTGTGCAACAGCAACGGCCACAGCACACACAATTGCTGCCTGCTTTCATTTGTTGCGCATTTGTGCATTTGCGGTGTGCCACACTGCAACACAAACCCAAATATGGCTTAAACGCTGCACAATTGGGCCGTTTTGCGCGGGCGACGCTGGCTATTAGTTGTGTTGTCTCTGCTGACATAACTGGTCATTGGCTTTAATTATGCTCCATCCAACTGGTCTATGTACGTGTGTACCAGTTAAGGATTTGAATGTTGCAGCTGTTGGCTGTTTTTCCAATTCAACTGCGACATTTCAAAACCGGATTCATGCTCGAAAGTAGTCGGAAAAGCTTTACGGGAATGATCAACATACTTCAACTTTAACTCACATATGGAAACGGCTAAAAGTGTTAATAGGTCGTCGGGTCTACTGCCATGAATTCCTTTCGTGGTATCATATCTATGCGTATATGCGAGTTTTTTTTGGATTTTTTTTTAAGTCTATAATATGTATGTCACTGCTGAAGGCAAAAACTCAATCTATATATGATATTCGATAGCTATTATTAATTAATGAGTTAGTGTTAAAAAACTCTAAATTGAAAGCCATTCCGGTGAATACAGTTAGACCTTCTTATTCCTTGTATAACATTTTATATAAATTCTGTTATTTAATAGTAAAAATACTATTACAATATAAATACTACAATAGCACAACCCTTGGACTATCGTAAATTTTAGTTTAGTGTTGTAATAAGTGAAATGGATGTGACTGATGTTTATTAAAAGCATATTAAAGCATACTGACCTGTTGGTCACATATCAGATTTAGAAATTGGATTGGATAATTAAATTATCTCACAATTCTAAAGATGGCGACAGTCATGTCAAGATTTTAGATGGAAACTTGAAGATTTGTTCAAAGTATTATAATCTTCCTACAAACCAAAGAAAGGTTTCAAACTCAACAGATTTTAATTAAACGATTTTGTAGAAAATAATCTATTTGATACGACTTCAGGGAACTATTATAATTATTTATTATTATTTTTTAGAGAATTTGCTAATTAGCAAGAAGGTTCCCTGAGTCATGATGAGTGCATATGCGGGTAAGATATATAGTATTTGAAAGGAATTTGAATTTTTCTTCACTTAAGATTTTACATAGTTGAAACTTATTTCCGAACAGTTATATTCTATGGGAAAAGTTGTTAAATTAATTATTATTATGTTTACATTGCGACCTAGAGATCTTTTGTGTCTTTTTCATGGACTTAGAGTATTTTTATAATTCCAACTTTTCTTATGAATTGTAGCATTAAACCTACATTACACAGTTTCGTTTCTTTATTCAATATGTAGAAATACTTATGTGGGCTAAGTATTTCTATCTTTTGTACATCAGTTCCGGGCAAATTCTTAACACGTTTTCAGCTCTATATCAGCTCGATGTTCGATATGAGATGTCCACCTAAATACTTGTGTCGTTTATACATTAAACCCTGTCAAACTCTTAACACGTTTGTAAGATTTCATTAGAGTTCGATATGAGTTGCCCTCCTAGGTACTTCTGTCGTTTTTAGATCAAACCCGGCCAAATTCTTAACACGTTTCTGAGATCTGTTTAGAGTAAGCCTGATATGTGAGGCCCACTTGGGTACTTCTGTTGTTTCTATATCAAACCCAGTCAAACCCAGTCTTAACACGTTTCTGAGATCTCATTAGAGTTTGATATAAGATGCCCACTTAGGTATTTCTATTGTTTATACATCAAACCTGGCGAAACTCTTAACATATTTCCAAGATCTCATTAGAGTAAGTTCGATATGAGATACCCACGTAGGTACTTCTATCGTTAATACACAAACACGGAGTAAGTTTCCAGTTTTGTATGATGATAGTTTGACCCAAAGTGCGCTATCAGAATTCCTGTGATGACTGTCACCAAAACTTATCTCTTTAGAAAGTGTAGGGATTGCTATGATGTTTGCTAATTGTGAGGGTAAAAAAGTTTTTGCCATTCTAAAATATAATTAAAATTTTAATTGCTATAATAAAACTTTTAAACTTCCTGCTTTTTTTCCTGGTAAAATATATTTTCGTATTCACTTGAGCGTTTTATGCAATAAAACGGTACAGGTATTAAATTTTGGTCATTTTTTAGTTATTATTGTGACTTCTTTTATGGCATTACATATTAAACATAATTCCCGAAAAAATGTAATAAATCTTATAAGTAATGTTTAAGAATTTTTCATCATTATTAAAATATTTACTGTACCGCGAAGACAAAATAAATTGTACAGTAACCATTCGGGAACAGTTAAACGTCCAAAAAAGAATGTCAAAAAAGCAACAAAAACGTCACTTGAAGTACTTAAAGAGTCTATTAGTCTTGGAAAAGTATCTTAAGAACCGTAACAAACCACATACTAGTCTCCATAGTAATTTTAATGTACTTATAACTGTTTTCATTTGGGGGCAATAAAAATTCCATGTTTAGTTAGATACTTTATTGATTTACTAACGGACAAGTGCCGTCCATGGCAATTGGTTTCTTTGTTCTCATTGCCTGCTACTCTTTACACATTTTAAGAGCACATTTGAAGCGACACTTTAACAATTTCAGTGTTTTCATTACGAATGCTAAGTCGAATCGAATGAAGTACGTCAAAAGTATCTTAAGTGTGTAAATAGTGTACTATTTATATTTCACGCTTACTTTTAGCGACAGCGTCGTGGAGAGATTTAGAAGTACAAAACAAAAACAAAAAAACAAGTAAAGAAGTTGGCTTTGGCTTTGCTGAAGCTTAGTCACTTTTTAATACAGAATTTTGAACGTACATTAAGACCTTATTTGTATGATAATATATATAATATAAGAAAATATATAACACCGTATATATATATAATATTATTATTACAAGCCACTATACATTTTTTTATATACGTTCATATTTTGTTAGCTTTTATAGTTGGAGTAGCTTTTGTTGTAAATAGTGGATCTATATGATGAATCTGAGATATAAATTTATAAGAAACCCATTTCCAGATATGAACCGATCGCTATCATTTGTACTACATGTATCCATCCTGCTTTTAGGTAAAGGAATTAGGATATTCTCGAGTTAAGGCCTGCCTATTGTGAAAGGCGTCTAAAATCTATTACACTCAGAAAAATATATTCTAACCCAACAGTACATTAGAGGTTAAATTGACCTGGTAAAGATATGAAAACCAATATGTGGTATGATGCGTCGAGTAAGAACATTTTAGTCAAAATCTGGTTAGATTAGATTAGATTATGCTGGCAGGCCATAAAGGCCACGCGTAGACCACTAAGGTCCATTGCGATACCAGATCAGAGTCTTGTTTTAGCGATTGTAAGCATCACTTAAGATGCGCGTTTCATTAGCAAAATTTATTAAGATTCCATCTTAAGATTCCAAATCTGGTTAAATTAACCAAATTATTTTTCTGAGTACAATACCATACTCTACTATCTTGAAGAATAACTGGTAAGAAGTGGGTTTTACTTACGACACGTCACATACATACATCTTCAGTTGAATTGGACATTTATTTGGGTCAGCATGGGAGAATCGTGGTGTGTATAGTTAACTGCTACGGTGAATTAGAAAGAGTGCTGGAATTTGTATTTTTACTTAATTTAGAGTTGCATTTTCTCAACCAGACGCTGTGTACTAAAGAATAGCATTGCTCTTCATCAAGTAGAAAGTTATGTCCAAACATATAAATTCTATTGCTATGGAGCGTTTATCGGCGCATTATTTTGGTGTTAAGAACACTGTGGTCTTAAATTCAAAAGGTGAATAATCACGTAAAGTATATAGGCCTCACTAAATAGACGGCTTATATGCAAGCTACATCTTAATCTAAATCGAATATATATACTTATATTATACAGGTGGCTTTTTAAAAATTATGTTCAAGTTCCCAATTTAAAGCATACACATTAGAAATCAAATAGATCCATAGATCAACATATTTAAATTGCCAGTTTATATGAAAACTGTGTCTAAATCTGAACCGACAGGAATGTTTTTGTATGAATATAAGTACATATCGTTAGAAATTTCACTTTTATATTTTTAATAAACATGGAATAAACTATTTTTATATTATAGCTATAGTCAGTGCGACAAATGATCTAGGTTCAAGCTATCCAAAAACTATTTATACAAAGTTTCATTCAAATAGTTAGCTCATAAACTGAGAAACTAATTTGAACTGAAACAGACACAGTCAGTGCTAAAAAACTCAACTCGTAGAGCTAATGAGGAATATGTCATACACCCTCTTCAAAAGAGTCACGACTCGAAATTCGTTAATTTTGAGTTAATGTATGGAACTTGCTAATAGTTTACCTGTCTACCAACACGCAAAATTCCGTTTTGTTTTTATTGTAAATTGTCAAAAAAAAAACATATATCTCTTTTTTGTTAGGAATGACTGCAAAACATTGTTTGCGTTTTCTAAAAATTGTCAAATTATCTCATTTAATGGCGCTTTTACTCTTTACATATACTCGTAACATATAAATTAGTATCAACATATGAAAAACTTTTTTTTAAATACTAATTGTTGAGTAAGCTCATTCTTTATCAACAAAAAATAAACGCGTTGGTATTTAAACAGAAAATTGATATACCTCAAACTACACCGGATATAGAAACACATATTCCCGAAGATATATTATTAAAAACTTCTCCAATGAACATGACAAACTCAAATTGCATTTGTATTTAATTTATAAATGAGAATATTCAAAACGAATGAGAATTGTAATTTGATTGCGCCTCTTTTGAAGAGGTATATACTTTATGCGAGAAGTTCAATGTGTAACAA